CATCTTCCGGAATTGCCGTACCATATTTGATAGGGTTCAAATATGGTAACACCTACAAGGGTGATTAGAGGTCACCCCAAAAGCTTCTATCCCTCTCGGAAAGCCTGGCAAGCTACCGAGAGTATTTTGCCCGCACGGCAGAGCCTCGCAAGCTATTCGTTGTGTATTCAATATGCCAAAACCAGTAATTACAATGGGTCTCATTCCCCTGACCCTGAAGGCTTCAACAATATGGCAGCATTGAGAAGGATGAGAAAGGAGAAGCCGATAAAATCTCAAGGCCGAACTAGGCTGCCACAACGAAGGAATACAAAAATGATCGTCTGTACTTTCAATGCACGTACGCTAGCATCAGATGCATCCATCGAGGACCTGATGGTACAAGCACGAAAGATCAAGTACGACACCATTGGTCTGACTGAGACAAGAAGGCACCAATCTCATTATGGCGTTTTCGACACTGGAGAAGAATTGTTTCTTGGAACATGCGATAAAAGAGGTGTCAGAGGCGTCAGTGTCCTTGTCAACACAAACTTGGCCATGAGCATTGATTCAGACCAGATCTACCAATACCTATGGATGAGGAGTTACTAGATCTCTTCACCCTGGTGGTGTGCTCTAAGCCCCATATGGAGCTGGGCCTTGATACCTGTAGGCCCAGTGATTACTGGAGAAGAGAGAGATCACGCATTCTGGCTACACTTCCTCTTTTAAAGCTAAGTTAGAGGAGTGGCAGCGAACCTCCCCCCCAAAATTTATAAGGAGCAGAGTTCTTCCGTAAAGGGTGTTCACACTCACAACAGGGCAATTGGAAAAGATTTTCGGGGGGTGGTGGTATTCCCTTACTCTAACTACCTACATTATATTCCCCTAGAGATTTCATCACCTAAATCTTTAAAGGGAAAATGGTAGAAGGTCCATCTTTTGGAGCTGCTTCCTGCTGACACAGGGGCGCTGACCTGCCTGCACAAGGGATGAAATTTCAAGCTACCTTTCTTCCTTCAATAATATTTAACTACAATAGTCCAGGGGTCAGCAATTTTCAACTTCCCTTTGGAAACCTCACTCCAATTACCATTCTTCTCTTCTGTAGAGTGTTCTGGCTTAGAGGAAATATTCTCTAAATGGGGTATTAATCCCATGATGGAACAAGAATTAAGAGCTGTTAAAAAAAAAATCTCTGTTCTCGCCTATTCCCCCGGTGGCATGGAGGTCGCCATCTTTCAGAGCCTATTGGACAGTCAGGTATGAGCCAACAGTGATGAGACACACGGGGCGTCATGGAATGGAGTGGGAAACTGGCCCTTCTCCCACGCCCCGACGAGACTCCAAGTTGCTGCCCATGAATGGGTCCTCCAGCTACTTATCAAGCTCCTTAACAGTCATGATCCCAGAGGCACACAAATCAATCTTGAAACCCAATGGCTTTTGGCAGAAAACCCTCCAGACTTAGTTAATAAAATATCAGAATTCCAACATTATATGCTCTTCATAATTAGCAATAGAAAACAAATTATCTAAGGATGCCATTTCAGCGATCTGATTGTTGGGGGAAAATTCCAATAATAATTGTGGGTCTTTTGTCAAAATATTGAATGTAATCAAAGTAGAGAGAGAGTAAAGTGGAAATTATCTGCACACAGGCAGCGGGAGGGGTGGAATGGGAGGTGTACTGGTGTTCTTGGTGATGGAAAATGTGCACTGGTGAAGGGATGAGTGTTATAACTGAGACTTAAACCCGAAATCTTTGTAACTGTTCTCATGGTGATTCAATCAAAATAAATAAATTAAAAAAAATCTCTGTTCCCCCCAAATGACTATATGTATTCATAGAACTAAGAATGAATAGTTCGAACCAGTTTAGATGTCCACTCTTAGTACCTTAGCCAATTGACAGGCTGGGGGAAAGCAATTTATTCTACACTTTGAGCTGACTTTCCCCCTGGTAAAGCTCTGGCTTCTGCTTTTCTGGCCAGACTGGTGACAGCAGGTTCAACATTGAGTTTCTTTATAGACTAGAAAGCTTACTTACTGAATTACCCAAGTATTCAATTACTTTTGTATAACTAGAATCTTTTTCTTATAAAAAGCAAGTTACAGAAACATGGTTTTTTCTCCTCCTTTATTTCAAATTTGCCAGACAGCTTAACAAACTTGGCTTGTTCTTTTGCACAAACACAGCAAGGTTGGCTCCATTTGGGGTACCCTGTTATTTACTGAGAAGTTCCGGGGATGGTCAAAGACAGAGCAGGAGACACATCAATAATGGCAATTAATGTCAGGGCTACCCAGGGTTGGCCACAAGATGTGAAGATCAGGTCCTACGATGAACTAGAGGTAGAGCCTTCAGGTTGAACTGAATGTGGCTTCAGGCCTCTCGCCCTCTGTAGGAGTGTCCTGGCAGTCAGGAATCCATCCCATCCCTTCTTTAGGGCTGGGAGAAATCCCAGTCTCCAGATTTTGGACACTGAGGGCAAAGCACAGGCTGAGTCAATCTTTGCACATCTCTTGCTTCCTCCTTTTCCACAGCACAATGTCCAGTCATTCCTTGAGCCGGCCTGCCTTAGGGTTTCCCTGAGGTTTGTAGGGTACTTGTAACAATAACTGTTAAATACTCACTCCTGGCATTTATACCAATTCCCTAACTCTTCCCCTGGAAGAGGGCTTTTGGGGTCCCATAGCTGGTTTTCCTGTCTGCACTAGAGGCAGACATTATTGCAGAGAGGAAAGACTTTTATCTGGCACAAACATAGTGCCATGAAACATTAAAAAACACGTTGAAGGTACAAAGGAGAGAAAAACAAATATTTCACCTTACTCACAATGAGAAATACCCGTCTGCTATGGGTCCTAGTCAAAAGAAGCATTAAATTCTGTAAAATTAGAACATAGAGTTTAACAACATCATGCCCAACTCATTTAGTTCCATGTTGAAAACCTTGATTTCCACTTGTTTAAGAGCACTTTAATAGGAATCTAGATAGCACATTCAATATATGTAAAGCCCTTCCCTTCCTTCCAGGGAAGCTCTTCTAAGACATAGATCCCCTGCTAGGAGATCCGCTCAAGGGTAGAATTTCATCTAGGGGTGCGTTTCTCCTTTCCTTAGTTCAAAAACCATTTAAACATTCATCTTAATTCTACTTAATAATATTAGTCATCTTATACAGACACAGTAAGAGATGCATTAAACTTATAGGGTGGCTCTCCTGGGGACATCTCACTGTAGATCCCAGACTACAGTGCTCAGGCCTGATGAGCCTTTCCTAACCCTAAGCAGGGTGACTGTCCAGTTGTTTCTTTTTGGAAATGATAGAATTTGTTCATGACCATGCTCTTAACTTATAGTTAAGTATTATGGTGCTTGGCCTGGCCTGTTTTGATGCCCGGGTAGCTCATAGCTTGCCCTGAGTCCTATCCAGTTCCTTCACTGGGACCCTTGCTGTGGGTTGGTAGGAACTAAGGGTAACTGAGGCTTAAGTCAGATAAACAGATGACCAGAAGTGAATATTATTCAAAGTCAATTAACTCCCAAGTTAAAAAAGCAGAGTATTAACTGTCTTCCTGTGTCCATACAAAAAGGACATTGCTCTAAAGTAAACTATGCAAAGAACATTAGGAAAAGAGAAAAGCAATATGTCACTTACAAGTACAAATCCAGAGATTTCTGAGGAATTTGACTATACAGGTCACAGGTACTGCTTTGGGGATAGAGATGATTAACTGGTTGGGGAAGCAGAGCAGAGAGAAGAGGTTAAAGATAAACACAGAGGAATGGGAGTGCCTCAGGAGCACTATGATGGGTGTAACCCAATAAACCTAAGCTCCCTAAGGCCAGGGAGAAGGAAAAACCAATGTTATCCTACTCATGGGCTGGAGCGATAGCATAACACAGCGGGTAGGGCGTTTGCCTTGCATGCAGCCAACATGCCCGACCCAAGTTCTATTCCTCCGCCCTCTCAGAGGTGAGATTAATCATGACACAGGTAAATGGAACATTTCTAAATTCCCAAGAAAATATGGAAGGTTAATTTTAATACTTTAAATATGCAAGATTAAAATAGTTTAAAGCAATTCAGAAATATTTAGTGTCAAATTTTCATAATTTAGGTAAATCTTTGAAAGGAAAGATTAATAATTTTACTTTTAAAATACTGTTTTTTTTTTTAACTTTATCAGGGCTGGAGGGTTGGAGCGATAGCACAGTGGGTAGGGTGTTTCCTTACACGCAGCCAACATGGCTGACCTGAGTTCGATTCCTCCGCCCCTCTCGGAGAGCCTGGCAAGTTACCGAGAGTATCTTGCCCGCACAGCGAAGCCTGGCAAACTACCTGTGACGTATTCGATATGCCAAACACAGTAACAAGTCTCACAATGTTACTGGACCCGCTCAAGCAAATCGATGAACAAGGGAGGACCGTGACCGTGACCTTGATCAGGGCTGGACCAATAGCACAATGGGTAAGGCGTTTGCCTTGCACTGGCCGACCTGGTCAGCCCAGGTTTGATTCCTCCGCCCCTCTCGGAGAGCTTGCAAGTTACCAAGAGTATCTTGCCTGCAGGGCAAAGCCTGACAAGCTACCTGTGATGCAGTGGCAGTAACTTTAGCATCCTATTCACACCCTTTGACCACTCTCTCCTTCCCTGGTAACTTCAGTTCTACAGTAAGAGTCCAAGGGTTTGTTTTTAATTTACTTTATCTGTTCCCTTCCAGTGCTTCTCTAAACCCACATATGAAGAAGATTATCTGGTGCTTGTCTTTCTCCTTGTGACTTATTTGGCTTAGCCTGATATCCTCCATCCAGTTCTACCCATGCTGTTATCAAACGCAAGATTTCATCTTTGTCTGTGGCCCATTGTGTAACACTTATCCTTATCCACTCCTCTGTGGTTCGGCCCTTGGGTTCCTTCCCGATCTTGGCTATTGTAAATAGCACTGCAGTGAACCTAGGAGTGTCACTATCTTTTTTTAAAATTAGTGTTCGTGTTTGTTTATGCAGGATGCATAAGCACCACGTTCCCCAGGACCCGCCAATCTTTGACGGGAACATCTCACTTGAAAACTCTAAGCCCCAGCTTCTTGGCGGTCTCTTGATTCTCTTAGTTCTTGAACACGGCAGCATCGGGCAGGTTTCCACTGTACTGCCCTTTTGCTAGCCGACCAAAACTAAAGTCTGCGCAGTCCTCAGCATTCTAATAGTGCAACCTGCACTCTGCGCCACAAAAATCCTCCCACGAGACCTCACTTCAGCAAAAAACAACGGAAAACAGCCAAAGGCAAGCGTCCAAGACCCAGCCACAGGTCATCCCCAGTTCAACCCGCCCAGCCCCGCCCCGTGACGTCACGCGCGCGCCCGGAAGTGCAGGCGGGCTTGGCGTCATCGAGCTGCGCCGCGGGAGCCGTTGCCGGGAGGAGGCGAGGGGTGGAGTCGTTAAGGGCCGGGATCATGCTTCACAGCGAGCCGCTTCCTGAACCGACGAGGCCTCCGCTGGGTTTGGGATGAGAGAAGAAGGGCCGATGCAAAATCTGGAGTGCGCTGGGCCCGGGCAGTCAGTCAGCACCCAGACTGGCAGCATGACGGGTGAGTGGCCGGCTCCGCCCGCCCGCCGGCGCGGCGCTGCCCCTCGGGCCGGCCGGCCGCTGTCCCGCCCTTCCCCGCGTCCACTCCTCCGGCTCAGCTCAGCTCAGCCTCGTCCCCGCCGGCCACGGCCCTCGGCGGCCGCGCGGCGACTTCGGAAGTGGCGCTGAGCTGCGCGCCCCGCGGTCTTCCCCCCTTCCCTGCACGCGGGCGGGACCCCCGGGGGCTCCGCGCGGGAAAGCCCTCCCCGGCGGCCTGTTGCTCGTGTCCACACGGACTGCCCACACGGACGCTTTCCCCGAAGGTCACCGCCTTTTGGAAAGCGCCCTGGCCGCTGTCCCTCACGCGTCCCCGTCGCAGCACCTCCTCGTAGTCGAAAGGAGTGCAAATAAGGGACTTCTCGTGACTTCTTTAGACGATGATTCAAGACCCACCAGTTGTGCTGTTTGCATCGATTCATTATTTTCCGCCCCGTCCCGCGGGGTTAAAGAGGCCCCAGCTTTGGAAAAGCCGCAGAGAAGATCGCTTTTCAGCGGGTCCAAGGGCATCCTGCTTAAGTGAGCGCGAGCGCTTAGGAGCTCTTGTCCTGTCATCCCGTTATTTGTCCCCGTTAGAGCAACTGAGCCGGGCAGCGCCCAGCAGCGCGGAGCCTAGTTCTGGCTTTCATCACTAGGAAATTTTTCAGGTCTTATGCCCTCTCTCTTGTAGGTCAGATACCAAGACTGTCTAAAGTCAACCTTTTCACTCTGCTCAGTCTCTGGATGGAGCTCTTCCCAGCAGTAGAAGCCCACAAACAGAAATCTCAGGTATAATTTGTTTCCTCAAATAACCGTGTTTTTTGGTTTTTTTTTTTCCTTCTGCAGATCAGTGGTTTAGAGTTTTCTTGTATTGCTCCAATTTCGGCCACAGAAATTTTATAAACTTAAAAACAAGTGTGACGAGTCTTAGCATGTGCAAGACACCTTGACACTTTTGCGTGGTACTTGTAACTCAGAGCTGCAGTCAAACTCTTTTTTCCCCAGTCTGAAGTTAGTTTTCTCTCAGCCTGTGTCACGTTTATCGGTTGTCAGTGGCACATGTTGGTTTGGTTAATTAGATCATTGTATCACTCAGTTGTATAATATAGGTGTTTCACCTTTGTATTCTTCCCCCCCTCCTGCCTCTGGACTGCAAATTGCTTGAAGAGTAGTGCTTTATTCTAACAGATGACCTGTGACTGCTGGTTGATTTATTGTTCCATATAACTAGTCTGTTACTTAGATCTTAAAGAGATGATCAAAACAGGTTGGGAAGAGTTTGGTTGTTTTTGTTTTCATTTTTTTTTTAAAACTGAATCACTGTAAGGGATACACCCTTATAAGGCTGTTTATGATTAGGGTTCAGTCATACAGTGTTCCAACGCCCATCCGTGGTAGGAAAGTTTGATACAGATAATATCACATAAGCCAGTGTATTGGAAGTAAATATCTGTAATTAACTATCTGCCTTTTTGATTTTTCTGTGACTGTTGGAGTAGGGTGCTACATACTTCATGTTTTTCTAAATCTTGGAATGTCTTGGTGCTAAGTTATTTCTATTTTAGTTGAGAAGATTTGGAAGTTTTGGATGTTGTTACTAATTTTGGAAAGTCCTAATCATATTGGGGAAGGGGAATAGGTTAAACTTTTAAACCATTCTTAAAATTTTTTTTTTAAAGGGGGAAATTACCTATGATTTCTTGCCATTCTAACATCACTTTGATAGTTTTCTTCCACTTTCTTTTTAAACACAGGGGTTCCCCCACCCTTATAAAATTGTTACTATCACTATCACTATCACCCTGTTGTTCTTCAGTTCGCTTGAGCGGGCCCTGTAACGGTTCCATTTGTCCCTGTCACGTGCAGGTGTAGCCCGATGACATATTGGGGGCTCCTTCAGGGTCAGGGGAATGAGGACCATTCATTGTTACTGTTTTTGACATATCGAGTATGCCACGGGGAGCTTGTCAGGCTCTGCCGTGAGAGTGGGATATTCTCCGTAGCTTGCCGGGCTCTCCGAGAGGGATGGAGGCTTTTGGGGCAGCCTCTAATCACCTTTACAGGTGTTCCTAGTCAGGCATATAGGCAGGTATGATACTCTCAGTAGCCTGCCGGGTTCTCTGAGAGTGAGAACCAGAGAATAAGAGGTCTTCCGGGAGCTTGATTTTATAGTCTCTGGATGGCCATTGAAGGGGTTACACGGCAGTTGGTGGGTGTAACTGTCTAGCTACTGGAAGGTGGGGGAGCTGGGTGGAGGAGGCCCAGTCCCAAACCGAGCAGACTTGGAGATCTCAGCCCCAGTTCCCGCACACCTGGGTTCCTCTGCCGATTCCTCGTCCAAGCGTGTGGAGAGTGGTCTCAGCATGGCTTTGGCCGGGTCCCGGAGGTCTTCAGCTGTCGGGGCTCTGCTTGGGGCGGAGAGGGAAACTCAACCCGTCCTCCTCCAAGGGGTCCCGGTGAGGACAGCCAGGCACTTTTTACTATATTATATATATATATATATTTACTATATACTAAAAAATTGTTACTATATTATGCATAGGCTTTTTGAAATTTTCAATTGCCACTAGTTCTCTAGTTCTTCAGAAAGATTGCCTTGGAATTTTTCAGAAAAATATTTTTCATATATCCTTATAATTCCGTAGAATTCTGTGTGTTACCCATAATCAGCTGCTTTTCTTTTTTCAGTGTCTTTACTTTGTGTGCTTGGCGCTGTAGGCGCATATATGTGTCCGTAGTCCCTGTTTTCAAGTGGGACGGAAAACTAGACATTTAGACTATGCAGGTAGAATTTAGATAATAGCATTAGCTATAAAATTTAACCAGAAATTTTCCTAAGCCCAAAGGCTAGGCTCTGTGTGAGAAGGGAGGGATGTCTTCCTGGGGAAGCTTGTGCTTGTCTTACAGGTGTGGGGGATAGGCTGGGAATGGGACTCAGTGGTAGTGCACATGCCTTGCATGTGTGACACGGTAGGTTTGATTCCCAGATTCTCAGCTTTGCGCAGCTGGCTTGGGGGGAGGGAAGAGGGAATTGAGACATGAAAAATAAGTATTTGCCAGCCCAAAGAATTCCAAGGAAATGAAGTAAGAGAACTTGTGGTCCTCGTCAGCCGGTGAAGTTGGGTGGAGGGAAGAGACTAGACCTCAGTTTAGAAAGATACACAGGATTGGATCATTAGAAAAATTTTCTTCCAAGAGAATTAGGTTTTATCATCTAAGTGTCATTATTACATTAAAGAATTTAAATGGGAGTTGGAGGAAATCACTGTTTTGTTGTTGTTGCTGCTGACTTGATTTTACTGGGCCCTTTTACTTACGCGGCAAAGCAATGGAGGAAAGTACAGAGATTTCTCAGATATGAGTAGGCTCTTCCATTTTCTCCATCCCTCCTTGAGTGATTCATTTGTTTAAAATGATACTTTTATCAGTACATAATCACCAATGTCTAAAATTCATTTTATAGTTCACTCTTGCCCCATTATACATTCCATGAGTTTGGACATATCTATAATGACATGTATCCATCATTACGGTATCATACAGTGTATTTCATTGTCCTAATACTCTCTGTGCTTCACTTATGCATTCACCGACATGCCTCCGCCTCCCCTCCCCCCCCCCCCCCACACACACACACACGCTGCCTACAACTTCTGGCAACCACTTGCCTTTTTACCTTTTTATTGTTTTCAGAGTTTTGCCTTTTCTGGACTGTTATATTGGAATCATACAATTTATAGCATATTCAGATGGACTTCGTTCATTTAACAATATGTATTAATCTTAAATAAGAAAAAAGTTAGGTTAGCAGCAAGTCAAAATGTCTGTCTAGGATAGTAAAGAATTACAATTCAGAGGGCAACAATTTCAGATTAGAAGTCCAAAATAATGTCCCATGAATGCTGGGAAGTTCTTCTAGAGAGAAAAAGAAGGAGAAGGTGATAGGCAGGTGAAGGGTTACAAGGTGGGGAAAAGTTCACTTTTATCAGCCCTCTCAAAGGTGTGTTCTCATTTTTGGAATTGTGTCAATATGGTGGAGTCCAAGGGTTTTGCTTTTAGTTGAAAGAGTAGAGCAATTCCAAAGAAGACGGGAAGGAGGAGGAGGAGGAGAGGAGAGGAGAGAGAGAGAGAGAGAGAGAGAGAGAGAGAGAGAGAGAGAGCGAGAGAGCACACCTGCGTCTGAGGCAAACTTGAGGAGGGGGTTGTGGCAGGAAGGAAACCGGGGACATTGGTGGTGAGAAATGGGTACTGGTGAAGGGGGAAGGGATATTGGAACATTGTATGACTGAAACCTGGTCATAAACAACTTTGTAACTGTACCTCACAGTGATTCAGTTAAAATTTTTAAAAAGAGCAGAGCAAGTGAATGAATCTTAGAGCAAGTGATCTTTCTGCACTGCATACTCTAGATCTATAACAACCACTTCAGTGATATGAACTTCATATACCCATTGAAGCTTTCTTTATTTCTTTCCATGGCTCAGCAGCTAATTTTCTTTGAGCACTGAGTCAGATTTCATAATCTGAATGTACTCATTTTATTTATTCCTTTACCTTCTGAGGGATATCCTAGGGTGCTTCCAAGTTATAGTAAATATGACTGGAACTATAAAGCATCTGTATGCAGAACCATTTGTGGACTGTCTTTCAGTTCCTTTAGATAGAGTAATGCCAAGAGTCTATCTGTGTTGCTGGAGAGATAGCACAGCAGTTTGGGCATTGGCCTTGTACATGGCCAACCCAGGTCCCATTTCGTACAGTCCAGGAATTTCGTACAGTCCCCCAACACTACCAGGAATGATCCCTGAGTAAACCCTGAGCACCTCAGAGTGTGGTCCAAAAACCAAACCAAAACAAAGCACAAAGAGTTGTGACTTACTTTCTGAGAAACCTCCTGTCTCACAAAATGACTGGACCATTTTACACGCCCACTAGCACTATCTGAGTGGCTCTGCTCCTCCACACACCCTTCAGGATTCGCTCTTATCAGTGTAATAGATTTTGCCCCTGGTAATCAGTTTGTATTAATATTATTTTCTGTTCCCTGTAGTAATTAATTTTCAGTTCCCTGATGACAGAAAGTGTGGAGTATCTTTCAATCTTTCTTAGTTTAGTTTATGTATATTTTCTCTGGTAGAGTATTCATTATGGTCTTTTTCAAAAATTTTCATTAGAAAATTTTTCTAATGATCCAATCCTGTGTATCTTTCTAAACTGAGGTCTAGTCTCTTCTCTCCACCCAACTTCACCATTTTTAAAAATTTGGGGGGTTTTTGGATGTGTTTTTTATTTATTTTGGATATTAGATGTGCCTTTAGAATATATATATATATATATATATATATTTTTTTTTTTTTTTTGCTTTTTGGGTCACACCCTGCAATGCACAGGGGTTACTCCTGGCTCTGCACTCAGGAGTTACTCCTGGTGGTGCTCAGGGGACCATATGGGATGCTGGGAATCGAACCTGGGTGGGCCGCGTGCAAGGCAAACACCCTACCCGCTGTGCTATCTCTCCAGCCCCTAGAATATATTTTTAACTCACTAGTCTGTGACTTGTCTTCTCATTCCTGACTTTGTCTTTTGCACAGAAATTTTAATTTTGGAGGGGTGGGGAGACACACCTAGCAGTGCTCAAGGGCTAACTTCTGGCTCTGGCGTGCTCATGGGACCAACTATATGGGGTGTCAGGAATTGAACCCAGGTTGTCCACGTGCAAAGCAAGAACTCTCCGGTCCAGAGAATTTTTAAGTTTTAATGAAGTTTATCTTCACTTGATCACTTGACTT